ATACCGCTGTGCTACTGGAGGGCATTTAGAAGAACTTAGACGTTTTGGTATTAACCAATATCCTCATTAGAAACATATTATTTTGTGCTCAAAATTTTTTCAAACTATGTTCAAGATGAGTTTTTCGGTAGGTATTTTCACTAATTTTGATATATCCTGCTAGTAAGTTTTAGCAGAAGTAATATATTTTATAGGAAAGAACAAATGATTTATTCTTGAATATATTTTCTGTTGTACTCTTTTTGCATACGCTCATAGTACAAGTATACCTGGAGTTTAAATTACAAAATTTACGATTGTCTATATAATGTAAGAAGATAATTACTAAAATTTATATTATAAATAATACATAGAAGTACTACTGTTATCTTAATAACAAAATCTGCATTTAGAAAAATATAATAGATGAATACTATTAAAAGAGCGTTTAATTTAAGTGTTTTTTTTTTGCAATTCCGTCGGTGTTTTGTCTTCCAACGGTCCCCTAGTAGCTCAACGGTAAGCTCGAGGGCTTATAACGCTAAAACTTGGAGTTCGATCCCTATGATGGAGCACTGCACTGATGGCCTATTGTACAACTTTGTGCTTAACAATTTCTCGCTGATTAGATAACACTAGCTTAATGTTCCTTGAAAATTATTTTGTTTTTTTATTCTTTCGTGTGAAATATAGTTAGGTAAAATAATTAAATTCTTATGAGGTTTGATCTGCATTAAGTGGTTTAAATATACATATGTGTTTCTTTTTTTTTTCCACACACAGAAGATAATGTGTTTACTGTTTTTTTAATTCTCTGTTTTCAGCTTATTATATTATAAAGAAAGGGCACCAGGCAGCAAACAAGACAATGCTGTTCGCTGAAGGACAATTTTGACTTAGGAACAGTTAGGATTTTTTAAGAATGAATATTAAGAATTCAATGTAATAGTGAAAATATGTAATATCTGTTTTAAACCTATTGATGTTTTTATGCTTTTCGGCAAATCCCACGATTCTTCATGATGTAAGTTTATTATTAATAAATTACTTTTAAATATTTCTTACTAAAATTTGAAAAAAATAAATCATTTTCTAGTATTTTTAGGGTGAATTATAGTATATATATATAACTTAACAAAAATAGACCGTTGAATCCGAAAAGAGTTTTATAGAATTGCATCCATTTTAAACCACTGAGAGAAAGCTGTTTCTTTTCTTCACGTGTCATTACTCAAGTCTTGCTATACGATTTTATCAACCGTTATCAGAGTCAATTTCAATACTTATCAGAGTCCAATCAATCAATTTTAATGGCGGGTATCATCATGGGCGACGCTGTATCAAAACAATAAAAATTATGTATTTATTTCAAATTTAAAACGTTCCTTTGTTATGAAAATTCATAAAATCATTTAAATAATTAGATCTTAGACCTTTTAAAACTAATAAGTTTTTTAAAGAACGTTTTTCAAGGATTTGTGTCCGAGTCTTTGAGAATATATTTCATTTAAATTCAGGGTTTCGTTACCTGAGAAAATTCCGTTTATAAATTCGTGTCTTTGGAAAATCAAAATGCTCAATGTACCATCACAAGGTAAGGAAAACTCTGGTGCGCTATCTAGTTGGAAACCTAAACGGCCTTGCCTGTTTTTAGCTTGTGTAATTTCTTTTATTGGATTATTTTACATTATAATAAGTTTTTATTGTTCCGAATCTCAATAGTTTGTTTTAAATATGCGTAATCCAAATAGCTATATATATAGAAATGTTGAAAAAGTATATATAAAATTTCAAAAGAATTTCTTACACATTCATTTTCTGAAAAAAATGCAAAGCTTTTGATTTATGTACTAATGCTTTGCATTTTAAAGTGCCCCACGTCAATCTGAGATTCGGTAAACAGTATTATGTCGCCCAAGAAAAAAAGTGAACAAAGAATTACTGAAAAACAAACAAGTTAGAAAAAAAAAACACCTTAATCGTTTGTTTCCAACCTCTCATTGTTGAAGCAACATACTAACCCTGATTTACGTATATTTTAAACAAATCATTGAGACTCGAAACAAGAAAAGCTTATACACGCTTTGAAGAGCAAGGAGGTACGTTCGTGAAAAATGTGTACAGGTTGTCGTTAACTCTGAATAATTCAAAGTTGGTTAAGTACAAGAAAAATTTGGGGACGCCCTTGCTTTATTTACAAATATATCTCCGGATTTCAGTCGCAAAAATTAATATTATATTATTCAATGCTAACGAATTGAATTTATTTTTCAAGTCACTGACATTAATTAATTTCTTAATAGTACAGGTTTTTAATTCTATTCTAAATATATTACACGTCACTACATTATAGGTCAATCACTTATCGTTATTTAGCACCAGGTTCTACAGGTGTGAACGCTGGAATGGACAACCGTAACATGCTAAAATTACTCCATATCGTAATATTATTGGAGTCAGAGTTAAAGATGAACACAAAAATGACAAGAACATCAGAACCTATTTTATTTAAGCCTGATATTTTTTGTCATAGAAGAAGAGGTTTTAAGTTTAGCAACGTTCGTCATTTTATATTCATTCTGCGCAAAATGTGCTAAATACACAATATTACAATGAAGGCCGTGCTAATTTTTTAAAGAGTTCAGTAACCCAACTTTTAATGTTATTTTTCAAGAACAAATAATCTAATATTACGAGCTTATGTTCTTTTTTCTCTCTCTCTATTTTGTATTTGTAAATATTTATGAATTTCTGAGTAGATACAAGTGTTGTTGTATCATAAGTTGATTGTTCAGTTCTGTTACTTTAAAAAAAGTTTTGAATTGTTTTTTAACTTAAGATGCACCAGATATAAAAAAAAAACAATGTTTTTACAGAAAACATAGAAACACGATCAAAAATGCAAAAAAACAATATAATGTACCCATATTAATATAATCATCTGTGGTAGGCAGACCTGTCTTGTATTTCTTATATTCTTTAGTTATTAAGGTGAAGTTTCAAGTTTCCACACATTCACGTTTCTAGCCGTGATTATGATTTTAACAATAGAACATTAATCAAGGAATATGGCTAAGTTCCTTTCGTCCAAGTTATCTATTTTTATGGGTCATTCCCCTATGGTATTACGTGCACATTCTTGTGGACATGGATAATTTCCACTGGTGGGTCAGATGATAACACGAAGATATATCTTCCATAATATTTCTATTGGCATGGTCATTAGTGACGTGATTAAGAATATCATTATAGAATTTTTCCCCCTACGAAGTATTTTATAGCGAAACATATTGTGCAGATTGCCATAGTAGTGTTAATCAGATGATGCCACAACAAAAATATCGCCCACCCCCCGTGCCACAACGGGAAGTCTGAAGGCTTATAATGGTAAAAAACGTATTATCTTAGTTTGTAACGGTCTTAAAACTCTAAACTGAGAACTGATAAGGGTTAAGTAGGAAATGTAGTTAAGAACTGTCTTCAGAAATCCAATAAAGGAGCTGTCTTTCATTAAGTCCACTTGAAATGTTGTGTGTCAATAAATAAAGATTACTTTGCGCTTTATTTTCAAAGTGTTTTGTCTCTTTTTTCATCAAGTCCAATTGAAACCTTGTGTTTCAAAAAATAAGAATTACTTTCCACTTTATTTTCAAAGTGTTTTGTCTCTCTCTTTTTTTTTCTCAAGTCAAAGTCAGAAATCTGAATTTACCATGTGATACATTTCCTGATCGAACCTCTTGTTATCTGCAGATATTACTTGAAAGGTAAATAAGAATACCACACATGTACTAACTAAGACTTTTCTAATGCGATTCATATATTAAACATGTTTTTATTCCATTGTTTTTAGACATTCATGTGTAATAACTTTATGGAAGCCATGCTTAATTTTGCTCAGATCTTGTATGATTACGACAGGAAATTATTGGAAGTGAAAATTAATAGGTCAGAAATTGGTATCTTCTCATTATGGAATCGTTTCTATTCATTAATATTGCATATCACTTTATAATTCTTCCAAAGTGGTATTAGAAATGTTGAATAATAATTTTGTCACAGTTTCTTTTTACTTTTGCTGTATCATTGTGGCCTAATTGTGCTATCATCAACTTGTCCATTCTTGGAACACTTGTCAAGCTCTATTGCAGTGATTCCCAACCTGTGTCTGCGGACACCTGGGGGTCCGCGAAGATAATACCATCTCATTAAACAAGTAAGTTTTTTAATTCTGCTGTTCTTTTAATTGCACACTCAGTTATATATATATCTTTTATTTGATGGAAAAACAAGTTAATTATTAGTAAGAAAAACAGTTTGTTGGGAATCTTTCCAAAAACATGGGGTCCGTGGGGAAAAAATAATAATAAAAGGGGGGGGGGGTCCTTGGTGGTGAAAAGGTTGGGAACCGCTGCTCTATTGCTTGTGTTTCCAGGTGGGACAGCGGTAAGTCTACGGACTTAAACGTTAAAGTTCAATGTTTATTTCCCCGCGATGGACATAGCAGATAGCCCGGTATGGTTTTGCTCTCAAACAAACAACACAGCGGTATGTCTGCGTATTTATAACGCTAAAATCGGGTTTTGATACCCGTGGTGGGCAGAGCACAGATAGCTCAGTGCGTAGCTTTGTGCTTAACTACAAACTATTGCTTGTAGTTGCTGCATGATCTTTTGAGAACTTAAAGAAAATAACGGTCGCTTCATGACCTTCATTATTTTCACTAACAGCATTGGTAATATCATTTAGTATATCGAATGTCATTACTTTATAATTATATTTATTTTTTCATTGGCATACTTCTATTATAAAGACTATTTGTATTTTTAGTTTAATATGTATGTATTAACCTAAACCTCTTAAACTGGTAGAACCTCAAGTGATATTACTGCGGTTACAACCGAAAATATATTTAACAACGAGGGTACCCAACTGATAAAACAATTCATTCCAATTTTTATAAGTAGAAATGTAAAAAAAAAAGGTACATTGAATTAGTTATACTGATTGCAAGGCTGTTTTTTTTTCTTAGTTTCGCTCTAAGTGTAAAGCTAGCTCTGATCGGAAGTTAATATTAACCGCTTTGCGAATGTAAAGACGATAACGTGGCGCCCTAGTTTTGCGATAAATAAAATGGCCTATTTTTTTAAGACCTGTATTCAAATTCGTGCATCTCGTACTGACCACCATACCATCGAACCACCATCCTGCGGCTAAGAAAGTGGTTAACCTTGAGGGACAGGTTTTTGCTAGTTTAATCTTTTCAAGGAACTTATGAGCAAGTAACTGCCTGTTATACATTGATAAACAAACTTTTCATTCACCAATGAGGCCTGATGACTATGGCACTCGACTCGCAATCTGAGGGTTGCAGGTTCGAATTCCGTCCTCAAACATGATCTCCTTTTCAGCCGTGGGGGCGTTATAATGCGATGATTAATAACATTATTCGCTGGGAAAGAGCACCCCAAGATTTGGCGGTGGGTGGTGTTGATTAGCTGGCTTCCCTCCATTATCTCACTTCAAAATTAGGGGCGACTAGTGTAGATAGCCCTCGAATAACTTTGTGTGAAATTCAAACAAGCAAACAAACATTCATCAACTCCGACAGTCCTTCTTTCATATTTTAGAGTAGCATAAACAGTATACAGGTAACCAAAATATTAGACCTGTAAGATTTTTAACTCCATGTGTCCACAAATAACACGCCCTAGTAAGAGGTTGTTAAGCCCCATAAGGACTGTTTGGAATATTTTTGTGCTTTTAATAATATTACAAATAAGCCAAAAGGTCTGAGAGTATTATCAAACTGCTTGTTGTTAAAACATTAATGGTTGATACTTACTGCCTGTAACACAAAAGAAAGTACGTTCTTCATAAGTCCTTTCTTTATAACTCATAAGTGTGATGAAAGGATTTCGACTTAATAATTGCTGACTAGTGTCAACTTCATCCCACTGAAACTCTATATTCTGGTTTAAATAAAACCAATTCGATCCAATCAATTTCTGGGAAAACTGTAACATATTTAGTTTGACGAACGCCACAATAAACAGTTTAACTTATATACCGTATTTCTCTTCCGAAAACAAACGTCACAGTCAACATTTTAAGATCCCGGTCAGTCAGAAACCCACCCAAAATTAGTTTTTTCGCCGGAACACAAATTAAAATTTTAGAATCATGTTTTGTGCGAAAAACACCATAAAAACCGGATAACATTGCTATGTGTACAAAATTCATCTGTTTCGAAATCAGTTTTCCATTTTCGCGCAGCGCAAGTATGACCGAAGTTACGAGAAGGCCAGGACCACGTGAAGGACATAAATACAAAAATAAAGAAAGCTTCAAAAGCTGTGAAATGTGTTTACATCGTGATCCTCCAGCTATACGAGGCCTGTGAGAAAAGTATCCGACCTTTGGCCGGGGAATAAAACTGGCATACCTTGAGCGTTGGAAACCTAATCACCCTCAAAGTAGTCTCCTTGGGACTCCACACACTTCTCTCAGCGGTGCCGCCATTGTTGGAAGCATTCCGAGAAAGCTTCTTTCGAAATGGAGTTTAGCTCGGCTGTCGTTGCAGCCATAATGTCATCTCTTGTCTGAAATCT